GCGCTGCACCGGAATCGCAGGGCCGTAGGTTCAATTCCTACCAGAGGACCTTGTGCTGCATTTTTCGCAGTCGTTCCTGGTTAGGTCTTAAAATGTATATATTCTCACTTGGATTACCAACCCTAACATCCTAACCATATTCTAAAACCGTTTGAATTGTTTCCAATCTATTTCAGACCAGCTGACGAGTATATTGAACATTTTACAAATGGAACCGACGCTGAATCCCCAACTTTAATTAATGTTTTATTAATTCTTTCGTATCAAATTGAATATTCTCCCCTCTTCTAGGATTTGAAACCTGTGAAACCTGATCCCTACAAGATATACGAGTTTCTTCAACTCACTCTCGAAGAAGCGTTTTTCCTAAGCTTTGGTCTTGGTTGTCTCTCGATCGCTCATGCTGAACAGGTCAGTCTTCACACAGGGTTCGTAGCGGTCTTTGAAATCCTTGAAAGTCTTTAAATTTCAATGCAGGTCTTTAAGGTCTTTGAAAAGTCTTTGAATTGTGTGAAAAAGCGAAGAAAGTCTTTAAAAGTCTTTAAATTCTTTAGTGAGCATTTGATTATACGATTTCCTAGCTAATAAATCAGGCCTTAAAATATCGGTCGGTCACGGACATTGTCCGACCCATTCGTGAAATTGTCCGACGTAGAAAGGAAACCACCGGACATTCTGTCCGACCTAGGTGAAACTGAGGTTTATTGTTTGTCCGACCTGAGTGTATTGGTGTCCGACCGAACTGTAGCTTTGTCCGACGTAAATCAAAATGTACCCTAGCCCAGGACTAGAGGCTTGTATGTTAAATGGAAAATCAGAGAACTATTGTATAAAAGGTGAACTGGAAATGTTGTTTTAACGTAGTCGAGCGCGGGGCGGCGAGTGAAATGGTGAAGTGGAAAACGGGCTTAAGTTGCCGAAGTCTTTTTTAATACTGCTGTTTTGGAAAGCAAGTTAATTTTGGCTTGGAAATAAGTATATAAGGAACAAGTTATTTAATATCTTTACAACATTTACCGTTAATTCATTTGTGTCATTCAGACTTATTTCCGAGTTAAAACTGAACTGAAGGTCGTCGGACATATGTCCGACCCAAATTCAATGTCACCGGACATTTTGTCAGACGGCCCTGTAAAAGATATTTTAAGGCCTGATTAATAAAATAGATTGATTGAAGCAAGATTTTCGCAAATATGGACGAAAAGGCGCATTTTAGGTTGTGATTTGACAGGACTAATTATTGGGTAAAAATGTTGCTTTTACTCTTGCAATTTTTCAACAGCTGATTGCTCTCAAAGGGCTTTGAAAAGTCTTTGAAAGTAGGCAGCAAAAATCTTTGAAAGTCTTTGAATTTTTTTGGTCTTGGAGATTACGAACCCTGTCACATCTCACGGGCGTTTATTTTATGAAAAGCGGGGGACAGGACAATGATCGAAATCCCGCGGCATGAAATAATATTCCAGACCTTTCGTATTAGGTACCGTTCACAAGTGTGTTCTTTTTAGAAGCTCTCGCTGTCATCTATGTGGTCAGAATTTTGCCGAAGAAATGTGGATTTTGTGAGAAACTATGTGGCCTATCATTACTACCGCAGTAAAGGCTGGGTGCCTCAAGTTGGTCTCAAATATGGAACTGATTTAGGTAATATACTTACTTTTTAAGTGTTTGAAGACTTATTATAATGACAGGTCTTGACGTAGAAATATTAGTGGAATTTGGATCGAATCATGAAGTACTGTAGATCAGTATTTCTGACTGGATGGCAATTTTCCGAATGAATTTCGGAAAATACTTATATATATATATATATATATATATATATATATATATATATATATATATATATATATATATATATATATATATATATATATGTACAAGTTCTAACATTTGAAATGAAGCTATTCTTTTTAATTGTATTTTGCTGTTTTAAACTTTTACTTTTAGTTCTTTACAAGAAGGGAATGCCGTTTTTCCACTCCAGGTAATTTTTAAGCTAAATCTCACTTTTCCATCCTTGAAATTTTATTGCGAATATGGTTAAATAGATATCAAAATTTTGTTTAGCTACGCTGTCGTGACAACGATGGTGAACGAAAAAGGGGATCGATTAGAGACGGAGAAGAATATTTCCAGTGGAAAAGAATGG